CTAAAGGAGAACAGAGAGCAGATATATGTATCTATGTATGTATCATGTATATATGTATGTATCTATGTAGTATGTAGCTGGTAAAGCAGCACAACATAAGATAAGAATTCATCGCCTGTAGAGAGTCAGAGCCGCCTTCTGCTGCAATATCCACTTTCCATCTATAGAATTCCTCCGCAGTACTTTTTTCCACCACCTAGATGTCCTCAGTCTGATGTCCTCTGAGCCCAGGTCGTCCTGGAGCCCCCCCCCGCCCCCCCCCCAGCCTGTGCCTGGACAGTGAAAGGAGAAGCAGCTCAGTGATGAGCTCATCTCTCAGTCACTCTGCTCTCTCTTCCTATCAGCATGCTTCTTGTCTGCACATGATTGGATTGCCTCCTTGTGCTGCTTCCTCCTCTCCCGCAGACTGATAACGGATCACATTCGGAAACCTAGACTCACGCTGCTTGCTTTTACAGTATACATTTAATCAGGGGATGTCCCTTTAAGGAGGTCAGCCTGAGGTGGTTGCCTCAGACGGCATCTCTTTTGGGTCACGTGGGAAGCAGCAGGTGTGCTGCCGCCCCTTTTCCTGCCAGAGTCATGTGATGGCAATTTGCACATCTCATTGGGCTCAGCTAAAAAATAACTCACTTTTTGAGTTGCACCGATACTCGGTATTTCGGCACAGAGTACCGATATATTTTTTTTCGGTACTCGCCGAATACCGGAAGTCCCATTCAGGAAGCCAGGCGGCGTGTAACGACGAGAAAGCATGGAGCCAATCATGGAAGTCGGGGCGCTGCGTCATTACAGGCTGCACCGGCTTCTTGATTGGTCGTTGGGTTGCCCACCTGTTCTGGATTCACCTGGACAGTCCTGGTTTTGGGTCCTGTGTGTGCTGTGTCTGAAACCCGGGATCAGCACATACAGGACTCAAAACCCGGACTGTCCAGGTGAATACGGAACAGGTGGGTGTCTGAGTTTCAGCTGGTCTGAAACCCGGAAACAGCACATGCAGGACCCAAAACCCGGACTGTCCAGGTGAATCCGGGACAGGTGGCAACCCTACGACCAATCAGGAAGCCGGGCAGCGTGTAATGACGTGCGGCCCAGCTTCCTGATACAGGAAGTATCGGGCTAGGCATCGGAGACCAAATACTCAGTATCGGCACAGATCCTAGTATCGGCATCGGCACAGATCTTAGTATCGGCACAGATCCTAGTATCGGTATCGGCACAAAGATCCTAGTATCGGCACAGATCCTAGTATCGGTATCGGCACAGATCCTAGTGAAAATAGGTGTCCAAATCCTGGTGGGTTTCAGCTGGCCCTACACGGCTCACATTTCGGCCAGTTCCCTACGAGCACCGGCAGCAGTATCGGCTGAACAGCGATCGGCTCAGATACAATCATTGCTCAGGGATTCGGCGCAGCCGCGTTCTCATACGTTCCTAAAAACTGCGCCGGCCCCCGGCTGTGGTGCAACTGCATTGCAAGGCTCTGACAGCCACAGGCGTGGCTCCCAGAGGTAGATGCATGATGGGATTTGTAGTTTCGCCACAGACGGAGGGCTGGGGATTGAACACCGCAGCTATAAAGGGGAAAATCGATACTCTATAATGTGTTTTAAGGCCTGTTGCTAGCAATGCAGATTGGAGGAGTGCTGTGTGACCTCCCTCACCCCTCGGGGTAGTGCAGACGCCCCGTCTTGCTGTCAGTGTTTGGCTCCGGAGAGCGCCGTCTGTCCGGGCTTGTCGGGTAGAACTTGTGTATGTGGAAATGACAGCCAGCTCTCTGCCGTTCATCACAGTTTCCAACATCTCGCCTGTAATATATACAAGGGGGGAAAAAACACACCTGAATGTAGGTGCTGACATCACGGCCCAGGTGTGCCGCGTTCTCCCCCGCAGGGTTCATACTCAGCAGGCGTTACCCAGACTCCGTGTCCCCAAAAACCAGAGCCAAGACCCAGCTTGGGGAACCGGCCCTATACACGAATGCCAGAGCTTAAAGCAGGACTCCGGGCATTGAAATATAGTCCAGTGAGCGGTCTTTATTACAGGAGGGGGGCGGAGACAAGACCAGTCACCCTGCACAAGGACAGAGAGCAGCAGTTAGCAGTCTTTATTACAGGAGGGGGCGGAGACAAGACCAGTCACCCTGCACGAGGAGAGAGAGCAGCAGTGAGCGGTCTTTATTACAGGAGGGGGCGGAGACAAGACCGGTCAGCCTGCACGAGGAGAGAGAGCAGCAGTGAGCGGTCTTTATTACAGGAGGGGCGGAGACAAGACCAGTCACCCTGCACAAGGAGAGAGCAGCAGTGAGCGGTCTTTATTACAGGAGGGGGCGGAGACAAGACCAGTCACCCTGCACAAGGAGAGAGCGCAGCAGGGACCGGTCTTTATTACCCTTGCCCAGGGCGTCAGAAAGAAGAGGGCACTGAAGCCTTCCAGAGCAATGAACATGGTAAGTATTCCACCTTATTGGGCAACTTCTGAGACTTGACAAGCATTTAACCCTTACAGGGGGGGGGGGGGGGGGACCAAAGAGGGT